TGGTTTATTGAGGTTGAGGTTTTTATGAATGAAAGTAGAGCAATTTGGGAATAGGAGAGCTCAAGTCATAATTCCAACCCCTCAATGCTTTGAGATAGGGCCCCAGACATTTTGGGTGGTTTCAGAAATCTGGAACTACACCTAAGGTAGACCTAAAAACGGCATTAAAAACAGCTTTTTCTGTACATGTGGTTTTAAAATGTTAAACACGGGAATCAATTATATAAGTGTGGAACTCAAAAAAAATTGATAAGTAAAGGTTTTTGATTGGGACTTTTATTAAAAAAGAATTAACAAGGGTGTTTGTCCCATTTTTAGAGAAGGGCGGATAGGTTTTTTTTTTTTTAGAATGCTTTGAATTATGAACTTTTACACATATTATTTGTATTAACAGATACACATTTTATATCAAGTCTTGATTTTTTAGCTTTCAAAAGCTAAAGGCTGGCACCTTTCCATGTGGAAATGGAATCTTAGACAATTATGGTTAGTGTGTGGGTGGCTGAATGTTTTGAATCATGGAACACCCACTTAAAATCCTGGTGCTATCTTAGAATAGAAGTGTAACCTATTTTTTTTTTATTTTTTATTTTTGTGTGTGTGTGTGTGTGTGTGTGTGTGTGTGTGTGTGTGTGTGTGTGTTTACCTGTTTTAAGGTAATCTGGGGAGAAAGGCTTTTGGTAGAGGGCTCAATAGAAATTTAAATTACTGAGTGTATCTCTTCACTGTGCGGTCAATGTGGCATCATCCTGATCGACCTACTTCTTCACACACAGGTTCTCCTTTCATACTTTGACAGCATCAAAGGCAAGGAGGCTGTTGGGCATCATTCTGAGTTAGGCATCCCTGTGGAATGTTACAATGGATATGGGGTTGGTTCTTAGGCCAAATGTGAAATATGTTTGCTTTTTCTCCTGAATACACAAAGAGTTTGGAGGATCTAGGTGGTCTGGTTATTGCATATTTTTTTTATATGCTGAGTGATAAAATTTACATCATGTTGACTGACTTTGTTTCCAGAACCAGACCTCTGGTGAGCCTGCCTTGCAATCCAGAGATCTTGGCCTATGGATGCTGGAAGTTAACTTTCTTCTTATGTGGACATGCTGTAAAAGGAATACGGAGAGGCTGATTTTTATCCTGGCAAGTTTCCCAGTATAGATAATTAGTTATTAGTACTTTCAGAAGTTGCAACAATTCCATAGGACACCAGGTTGTTGCTAATGAAAGAATTCAACAAAATTTTGTTGTACTTTGAAAAATAAATAAATGCAGTTTCTCTATCACATGGAAAATGACTTTGTGTTCATATTCTAGAAGCTAGGATTACAGCCAAAACCGGTTTGGCTCAGTGGATAGAGCGTTGGCCTGTGACCAATAGGTCCTGGGTTCGATTCCGGTCAAGGGCATGTACCTTGGTTGCGAGCACATCCCCAGTAGGGGGTGTGCAAGGGGCAGCTGATGGATGATTCTCTCTCATCGATATTTCTAACTCTCTATCCCTCTCTCTTCCTCTCTGTAAAAAACCAATAAAATATTTTTTTTAAAGAAAAAAAGAAACTAAGATTAGAGCCATACATTCTGCTGTAGTTTGCATGGTGAATAGGAAGACCAGTGTTTTAATAACTGCCCGTAGAACTCCTCTCCACTCCAAGTCTGGGCCCCAAAAGGCACTAAAGAAATGCTCTCTTTTTTGAAGGAATGATACCTAATAGATTTTATTTTTAAATAAAAATTGTATATATTTAAATTTTACATGATTATGTAATATACATTTATATAGTGAAATGATTACTACAGTCAAACCAATTAACACATTCACCTCTTGAGGTAGTCAATTACCAGTGTGAGCACCTGAAATTTACTCTCAGAAATTTCCAGTATTCAGTACAGTATTATTAACTCTAGTCATCATGTGGTATAGCAGATAGTTAGAACTTATTCATCCTATATAACTATAACTTGTACCCTTTGACCAAGATCACTTAGAAGATGGTGAATTATATAGACCCAAAGTCTTATGTCCATACAGTGTCAATGTTATATTAAAGTTTGTACTTAATATAAAAAAGTACATAATGTCTAGGAAAATTCCAAGTAAATACAATATAATATTTTCTTAGAAATATTTTTAAAATGGATTTTTAAAGTTAGAGATTTTTAATATTGATGGTAAAGAATACTACTACTTTTTTCTTCCACAAGTGGTTTTGAAAAACTCCTACACCAAATTGTATGTAGTATACAAAAATAAAACAAGGCCTTTTACTTCATAAGGTGAATGTTATTTTTGTTGTTGTTTCTGACATTCTTACATATGTTTTTAACATTATGGATGTTTTGCTATTGAAAAAGGAGTGCGATCACCCAATGTTTTATGCTTCATTCTAGAAATGTGTTTTTTCTTTTAAATTGCTTTTTGAAAATTATAAAGTAGGTTACTAAAAGAAATATTTATTTCAATTGCCTTTCACATTACTGGGTCTAAATTAGGTAATCAATGAGTGGTTGATATTATCATTATGTTTTGTTATTTTCTTGACACAATAATTCCAAATTGTTTCTTGCCTTTCATTCCTATGTCCTAGTTTTGTCATTTTGCATTATAGCCACATTTCTGCTCTACTTTTGTCTCAGTTCTAATAGCATCTTCTCTCATATATTTTTGTCCATCCTGTAAAAGCAATGTTAATCTTCAAATCTCTTGCCCAAGCAAGAGAACATTTGCTTAGGTACCATTTCCCAATCCTTAACCTCATAACAGTTATGGTAAACACTTGTATAGGTCTATAACCTCTTACCTACAATTTTTAAAATCCAAGAATCTATGAAAATACGAAGGTTTTGTAGTTCATATTGATGGCAAAACTTGACCCGAACTGATGGGACGTTGATGATAATCTTTATTTATCCCATCTAGTATGGACGAGCACATGTTTTGCTACAGAAATGTTAATGTATCTGATTATAGAGGATGACCCCAGACCCTACTGGAGGCATTCTATAATTCATGTTATATACAGAGTATTATCATTCTAAAATTTGAAAAGCATTTGAATTCTGAAATGCATCTGACAGTGAGGGTTATGGATAAGAGATTGAGGACCTATCCTTTAGTATTATGTTTTCATTTTTAAACTTTTATTACTAAGGAGCTGCAGGAATGGGAATATTAAAAGCATTTTAGGTACATAATCTCCCATGGATTACTTCCTAAAACAAGAGAACTACAGAGAAAGAGAGAGAAACAGAGACCACTGAGCAGTGACTGAATCAGTGATAACCAGTGCCAGCCATTTCTCATAGTACATTCAAATGCTGTGCTAGGGGCTTCATGAGGCGCAAATGAATGGGATTCAGGCAGTAAAAGTAGGACGTTCTTCTATGATGTGGGAATACACACACACGCACACACTCATACTCACGCATGTTTCTTTGTGTGTCCACTCATGTATATCCATAATTGTCTATGATGAAGGGAGTCTAACCAGTAGCCTGAAGGAGTCAGCTCTGCACATAGAGACATAATGAGGATGCCCATAGGTGTTCCATGGTTAACATTGCTCTAAAGTGCTGTGTGATGTAAATGCATTTGGTGGCATATTGCTTCCTTCACACAGATGTTTTGGGTTGTAGGCACTAGTAAATGTGGCACCTAAGAGCTAGTATTACTGGAACTGAACAGTCATGTACAGAAGATCCTCTATTGGCTTCTGATTTGCTCCTCTTTAGAGTTTTAATGAGATCCTAAAACCCATTTAAAGAAATCTGAATGGAACCTTGATCGTGTGCTTCATCAATGATGCCTACTAGGAATTCCTTCCGGTAATGATTTTTAATAAATATTTTATGTCTTTTATGCTCTGTACTTCGCATACACAGGTCAAAGTTTTGCAACTTGTGATTTCATATCATTGCTGCTACTTTCTGGGCTATAGCTACTTTGTTCCTTTTTAAGATTATTTCAACTGGCTCTCACATTTTACAGTATAGTAGTGAAAGAGGGAGGATGGTGAAAGGTAAAGATATAAATTTGGGGTGGCTGGAGTAGGGAATGTATGGATTTAACTATAGACTTCTTAAAAATATGCAGGCAAAGACTATGGTATTAAAATAATCTTTAACTTGCATGTTTATTTTCTTCTTACACAGGGTACATTTAAATTTTTATTGCTTAGGAATTTGTTTTAGGGTAAAATTGGTTGTATTTTTTGCCCTGGTGCTAGCATAGCCCTGCACATTTTTACTACTATTTTTATTTTAATCTAAAGACAGGCAGGTAAGGGTTAACATATATTTAAACTTGCTCTTTAATGGGTATCTTTGTCAAACATATGGTCATTTTTGGCATTCTAATTGTTAATAGCCTCTAGTGATTTCATTTGTCTATAGAGAAGTCCCGGAAACCTCCAGCTATTTTGATTTTTGCAGCTTTTATGATAAGTCCTTACAATATAGACTACTGATTTCTTCTTTGTAGCCTGCTCATTGTTGAAAAGCCAGAGCTATTTTTAACATTTACACAATTTCAGTAGATTCCACGAGGTTTGGTGCTAAATCTGTGGAGCCTTTCGTAATCATATCCTTTCTGTGGTTTGCTTGAATTTGATCACGGTGGCTGATTTCATGCATTGATAATGAAGGCTTAGGTTGCCTGTTTCTCGGCTTAAATCCACCTCAGACTTGGAGGTTGACAGTGCTGCTGGCTTCAGCACGCGCAGAGATACAGAACTGAAATTGCTCTGCTTTCTTTACAAATGACTCTGAGAGTGCTTGTCCTTCCCTAACATGTTGCCAGCGTGTGAAGGATTTTCAATGAGCAGTGCACTAAGCCAGCATCTGGGAAGGTCCGGAGCTGCGCTGATATAGTGTGGAGCTGTCACACAGATCTTGAGGGCTGGAGCCAAGCCTTGGGAGCACTGCGCCTCACGCCCGTCTCCTACTGGAAGTTTTGTTTATCCAACTTGGTTGCTCTTGCAGCTGACAAGAGCCCTGCCAGGATGTGGAGTGGACTTCCTAGCAGAGGTGAGCATTTTTATTCTACGACTCGGACGCAGGGATCTGGGGTGTCGGTAACAGATTCTTTCAGACGCTGTGTTGAATCCTGTGAAGTTATCAGTTGTGTTCATCACGTCTCGCTGACAGATCCAAAGGGGCAGCACTGAAGAGCAAAATATAGGATGCTTTAATGTTATTGGGAAGTTGCTCCTTGCATGGGTGTGACAGCATTCCTTTCTCTCTGTGCTAGCTGTTTTGCCAAGGACATCTTACCAGTAGGTGACTTCCTTTGTATTCAAACATTTGGAACAAGTCAGTGATATTGTGTGATTTGCTATCCTTGCATGAAACAGGTAGCCAGCAGTGGTATTATGTGCTTCAGTATTAAAAAAAAAAGAAAAGAAAAAAAAAAGAAGAAGAAGAAGAAGAAGAAGCAGAAGCAGCAGCCTAGGAACTAAATGTACTTTGTAGTGTAGAATCTTTGGCGTGAAATATATACAGGAGGAAACAAGTGATGTGAGGAGATAACTGACAAAGTGAGTGAAATGGATTACATACTGGAGTTGGCACCTTGTTAAGCTTGACATTATTAATAATTAAAAGTTATGACCTAGTTGTGCACTGGACAGCCTACAGTAATTGGTTTCCAGAGATGGTATACTGAATGAGAGGAGGAGAAAATTAGCAGCATTACCTCCCAAAGCATGTTTTAATTAGATGTGACATCTTAAATGTGGCAGATTTTATCATTTAAATCTAACTAAAGTGCGACACTCACCTGGGAAGTTAAGCTACTAAATCATCCTGCTCAGGGAGGTCTGATTTGGCGTCGTAAGTATCGAGTATTTGAAAGCCAACTGTGCAGGAGCAAAGTCAAAGTTAGCCTCTGAGTAGATGGAGTCCTATTGCTTAGGCTCGTCTACACTATGATTCCTGCACCGTGAGAAGCTGCTTCTAAAGAAGAAAGGACTGTGAGAGTCAGGATGCATCCGAATGGCAGTATTCTTATTAAGTGTCTGGTTAGAACATTAGGACTGCAAGGAAATCTATTTTTATTTGATTGGAAGCTAGCATGGCACATGGGGTGCGTATATCTGTGTGCGTATATTGATGTGTTTTTCCTGCTAAATTTATTTGAGGCAGCTGTCTTATAGCTTTCAGCTCTCACGTTATAGATAAGTGTGCATTTGTTTGACAGAAGATTCGAGAACCCCATTTACTGCCAGTACATGTAAAGCTTGGCTAAGCAGACGCATCAGGAGCAAACCGTTTGTGTTCGCCAATCTGTCTCAGCAAGTCCCAGGGCCACTATCTTGCTAGAAGCCACTGTGTGCTTTTGAAAGCATGAAATTAGTTTTATACTGAGCACATGGTTTCTCATTTAGCAGCTCTTTTTATGGTAATGGTCAATTTATGGTTCACCGCCAGGATTTTGGTATTCTGTCAAAGCTGATAGCTTCTGCTAAGGTGTCTCTATGAGATAATTATTTTTAAAACACTGAGATGGGGGGCACCCAATTAGACCCTCAAGAAGAGATCTCTTCCTTCAAACCAGTCTACTTCCTGAATGCACTCATTTCTCCAAATTTCCTTTATGTTGTTTAATCCAGGACCTACAAACCTTAAGTTGCTAACATTTCCCTCTTTGGAGCTAACTGGACATGTGCAATTAAAATAGCTATATTTTGAAATGTAAAGTGTTTGTTCAACTTTTTTCAATGTGTTTGTAGAAAACCACTCTATTAGTGTTGACAATTTTGTGCAATCCATCTTACCTGCTTGTTTCATAGACTATTGGAGAGAATCCAAAGCTTTTTATATTTATTATAATTGATATAAACTACCCATACTTTATTGTGTATATGTGCTATGAGGAAGGGTTAGTTACAAATAAAATTAAACAGTCTCAAGACACATTAAAATGTTGAAAAAATGTCTTCTTTTCTAAAACTGCTTCATTTTGAAAAGTAAATCCCCTCAAATGCTAACATTACATAAACATTAAAAATAGTGTTTGTTTTCACAGAGTGGCAATAGATGGAATGTACTTGTACATGTTATAAGAATGATTTTCCTAGCCTTGTTCTTTTCTTCAGAAAATAAACTTTGTTGAAAGTTTTATTGGTCATAATGTGTTTTGAAATAGAGATAGTGAAAATTAATTGCCAATGACATTTAATGAATTATTTATTCTTGTGTTTATTCTTTGTATGCTGGCACATATATATATATATATATATATATTAGAGGCCCAATGCATGACATTTGTGCAAGGGCTCGGCCCTGGCAATCATGGCAGCTTTCCTTGGCCCTTACAGCCTCCCCCCCTCCCCCCCCCCCCTTCATCCAGAAGGTCATCCGGAAGGTCGTTTGGCTGTACAGTCTAACTAGCATGTTATGTAAATGGATTAGGGTACTTGGTGGAATAGTGTTTTTATATTTTTTTCTTTCATATGGCTTTGACAATGGAACTGTCAACACTTCTGAAATATTGTATTTTATTGTGGTTTTTTTGTTAACTCTTGGATCTTTGCCTACATTAATGATTATACCTGATTAAGGATTCAAGATAAAATGTTATTTATTGAAATGCAGATATATATATATATATATATATATATATATAATATTATAATGAAACATTTTCTTCATTTAGATGAAGCAGAAATTTTAAACAACTTATTTTTCTCCTGTTCTTTTGGGAATTTCATGTCACAAGTCATCATTAGCTTGTCAAGGGGATTTTGTTTTAGCTTTTGACTTACAAATAAGTATCTCATGTTTCTTACTTTCCCAAAGCCCATAAAATAAATTTGGTTTGTGGGTTGAGATTTAGAAGGTTAAAAGGTCATCAAGATTTTCTCTTCAGATTTCCTGATGATGTAATGTGTTTAGAAAACAAAACCTTTAAAGAAGTTTTAGAATATCAGAATTCTCTTAGAATATTGAAATTTATCATAGTATATAGATCATAGAAAATTTGCTAAAGGAAGTGAGGTATAATTTAGCATATTTGCCTGAATTCTTAGCACTAATTTCTTTCTCTCTCTCTCTCTCTCTCTCTCTCTCTCTCTCTCTCTCTCTCTCACACACACACACACACACACACACTCACACACACACAAATAGGATTTAGAAAGTTATAGTGAGGATGTAAGATACTCATGCAGCTCAGTGATTTACCTGCATCTTTTCACTTATAAATCAAGAGTTTGCTTCAGCAAATTAAATAATGACTATTTATGAAATATAGCAGATGTAGTAAACTTGCCTTAGTTGAGAAACATTATTAAAATTAAAGTACTCTTCAAGTTCATGGAGTTTTCTCAATATATATGTTCAGTAATTAGTTTGCATGGTTTGATTTATATAGTTTGTAATTCACTTTAGAATATTTTCTCTTTTTTATTGATTTCAGAGAGGAAAGGAGAGAGAGAGAGATATAAAAACATCAATGATGAGAAAGAATCATCGATTGGCTGCCTCCTGTATGCCCCACACTGGGGATCAGCCCTCAACCCAGACATGACAGGGAATGGAATTGTTCATAGGCCATGCATAACCACTGAGCAACCCTGGCCAGGCTATATGTCATTTTGAAATATGTTGCTGTTGTGACAAATAATTTTAGTATAAGTATATCCCATGTAATATTTGTTACATACTTTTATTAAAAATTATTCGTTGTTTAGCTGAAATTCAAATTTGACTGAGTATACTATACTCAGTATGGGAACCCTTCCTAATTTCTAACTAAGGTGAGTCTCTGATAATTAGCTAGATAACTGGGACTACCTAAGCTAATATGGAGGCTTTGAGTTTCTGTCCAAGCAGTCAGTTTCTACTGGTAGAGTTTATGCTTGGAAACTCTTATGATAAGAATGTTTTCATCTGAGAAACTTAAAATGGTATTAAAAAAAATAGGAGGGGTGAAGCAGAAATTACTAGTAAGGACAGGAAAGCCTCCTGTAAATATTTAGATAAACCAATAAAGGCATCACATTAAATCATGTCAGTAACATTTTAAATACTAATAAATAATATTGAGAATTTTGCAATCAATTTCCAGTTGTTATCCCTTGCTAAGTAGAACGTTTTCAGGATTGTCCTCCCGCAACACGTGTGAGATGCATATAAATTGATTTTATTTTGTTCTAGTTAAAATACCAAAGGAGAGATCCCTTCTTCAATGCCCCTTCATGCCTCCATCTGAACTTTTTTCACATGTCCATAGTCCTTTTGATTTTAGGACTCTTTCGACTGCCACTACCTATGTTTCTCAGAGAGGCAGAGTAACTTACAAACTGGACTTAGAGGAAAATCTATGAGACACTTTTAATTATTCATACACCATAGCTGAGTAATATAGGATAGATGTAATATTTATTGTGTACCTACTATGTGCCTCGTAGGATATAAAAATATTTATAGCCAATTTTTTATTGAATTTTTAACAATGTATTAATACAGCAATACATTGTGTAATACCCATTGTGCAGATGCTAAACTATAAAAAAAACAACACTGTTCGTAGCCCCAAGTTACTCCAATTTTAATGTCATCACATTAGAGTATAATATTCTATCCTGATTCTGAATGTCACTCTAACACATCTGGCAACCTCCCCACAGGAGAATAAGGAATAAAGGCTCATTCATCTTCTGCATCTCACCCACGGCTGTAAAAAACCCCTCTTTGCTCACTCAGCTTTCTGTGCTATTTTTCTTCTCTCTTCTCACTTTCTAATGTCTCCCTCTTCTCCACTATTTTTGTAAACATTCCCACCAGGAATGACTAGACATCACTGTAAATTTTGTTTCTCAAAAGGAGAGAAAAAATAGATAGAAGTCAACTTATATATACTTTAACAGAATTTAGGTTAGTCTATCTTGCAGTTGATTAGTGAATATTGTAGAGATGTTTGTAGTAAATTCTTTAAAGTAACTTTTTTGTACCCAGTCTAAAATGTCTCTTTAGCTCTCTCTCCATCAGTTATATGATATGTCAAATCAGGGAAACTATTCTGA